CCATAACATGTCGTGTGTGCTGTCCGCATTAAACAGCATCGAATGTTAGAATAATAATTTGGTAGACCTAAGAGACACAAGTGAAATTTGGACGCATACGCAGCACATTCTTCTAGAGTGGATAAACCTTACTACCACTGAAAGAGAGTCTTTGCTGCGGAGTTATTTATTAGAAAATACCAACTGAACAGTTACAGACTATTGGACAAGGGAGCGAACCTCTCACCTGCTTCTTGTAATCAAGAGCTGAATACCCATCTTCTCCTTGAACGCGCCTTTCTGAACTCTCTCCGATATTCATTGCCATTTGCCAAAATCCAAGCAAACGCGACTCCACAAGTTCTGTATAGGATCTTACCTTTCAAGAGACGCGAAACGGATTCACGAGCAAACATGCTATTCGCAATCCAATCCCATCAGAAATATCACTGTTACACACCTTGCCCCTTTAAAGGTCGTTCGCATGCCACTGATTTTCACTTACCTCCGTCAGGTCAGCTTCGGCAGCGGGTCTACTTGGCCGCTCTTCGGGTGTATTATGCTACTAACGAGGCTGCGTCCCATTTACTTTTTTCGATCCACGACCATCTTGAATTGCATAGAGGTTCCCCTTGCGGTCCGTAAAGACAGAAGAACTTTGCCATCGACTGCCAGCCTCCGTGACCTCAGTCCACTCTTTCAAGGATTCCAATGAAAATCACGCCTAGGGGAATGGTCGCGTTTTCTACTTGCCGTTTTCTGTCTAGTCCTTTTCTGAACGGCGGTCGAGTTTTCTCGGGCTCCCCTTCATTTTTTCTCTAGCTCCTCCGGAGACAAGCGTATTGCCAAACACAACCCAATTTCCTGATCAAGCGGAAGGCGCGGATGTCGACCGTACATCAACATAAACGTGGACTTGCTCGTGGTGGAGCTAGCAACGCCACCGGCAAGTTCACTTCCCAGCCACCTCCTCTGGCTGCAAGCCACTCCTTGATCGTTCGGTTATTACGTTCGGTTAGGCCATTTGTTTGCGGTTGTTACGGTGTCGTCCTTAGCCTTCTGGTTCCCAGCTTCTGCGAACAATCTCTAAACTCTTACGCTCTCGAAGCAGAGCCCCTGGCCGGTTAGGATAATTTTTGGCACCCCATGGTTGGCCACGATTTGAGTCTTCGCCACTCCGTTGATTTGGCACCGCCGCCTAACCGATCCACACTTACAGGTGTCCTGCCATTGTCACGCTGTATTAATTCCCGCTGGTTGTCACCGGAAAGGGACTCAGGACGTCATTAGACCATAACTCGCCTATCCCTGGGACAGGAATGTGTTTCATGGGATGGGTTGCCCCTATCGTGTCCCCTTTCATCAGTTGGCACCACTTACAGGACGACACATAATCCATCACCTCACGTCTCGTCCCTGGCCAGTAAGCCCTCTGCCGAAGTAAGTCGTGTGCCATCTCATGCCACTTGACGATAGGCCTCCGTCTCGAAAGGCGAAACATTATGGGCAGCACAACGTCCGAATCGGTGGCGTTCCAGGTAGTTATGCCAGCTTCATTCAGACTCAGACAACCAAAGTGACTCTGGAACGTTTCCATTTCCTTGTCTCCCTCTCTGTTCTCAACGCTCCTTCCATTCAACAAGGCGGCTACAACTTTTCGCAAACCAGGATCCTATCGTCGGAGTTGCGCCAACCTTCCGGGATGCAGTTCGACGACAAGGCCGTTGGCCCCAATCCTGGTCCTGGGGGCCTAATCTTCAGCCCCTGGTCTTCACAGCCAACCAGCCAAGTGATTCTCCTTCCCTGGTACGTGCTGGATTGTGAAGTCATACTCTTGCAACCGGAGTGCCCAGCGCGCGAGCTTTCCACAAGGATCTCTGGTGGTCCTGATCCACTCCAGGGGTTCACGACTGGTTTTGACATGAAACCCTTGTCCAACAGATACAGCATCCACATACTCAAGGCCCAGACGATGGCGAAACATTCTTTCTCAGTGGTGGGGTATTGCTATTCAGTCGAACACGACTGGCATATTCGATAACTACGCTCCTCTTCTTTAGGACTGCGCCGATACCGCGATCACTGGCGTCCGCTGCAACAGTGAGCATCTCTCCGACCCTGGGCAGTTTAGGTTTCGGGTACCGACCTAACAACCGCACTTTCATACTATCAAAGGCCTCATGTGCTTCCCTGGTTCATTCAAATTTCCGATTTCGCGCGAGCAAGTCGTGCAATGGACCATCATTTGTGTCGAAATTCTTAACAAACCGGCTGTAGTATGCTGCTCATCCAAGAAACTGCCGTAGAAACCGCTTCGAATTGGGAGCCGCACAATTCCCGATCTTTGCCAATTTATCCAGCGGTGGGCTAGCATCTCTGTGACACGATTTATGACCCAGCACTGTCAACGAACTCCGAGTGAACTGTGTCTTGGCTTCATTTATCCGCAGATAAGCCTCCCGGATCCGCTTCAATATAGCTTTCAAACAAACTGCGTGCTCTGGTTTCAAACTGCCATACACAAAAATATCATTACTGCACACGGCAACATTCTGGAGTCCCTTCATTAAACAAAGCATCAAGCGCCATAATGTGAATGGTGCCCCAGGAAAACCAAACGGCATTCGTTTAAATTGATATTGGGTGTTCCCAACCGTAAACGCGGTTTTCTCCTGGTCTATCGCCTTGGTAGGTAGTTGCCAGCATCCGGGAGGCAAGTCAAATACCATAAAATATCGGGAATGCTGTAGGGAATCGAAAATCTCCGCAACCGAAGGCAGGCATACAACCCAATTTTCTCTCACTTCATTTGAGCGCCGGAAATTTTAGCAAAACCTGTATTTCCCGTTCGCCTTCCTTAAAACCTCAACTGTGAAATTGTTCTCTCACTTCATTTGAGCGCCGGAAATTTTAGCAAAACCTGTATTTCCCGTTCGCCTTCCTTAAAACCTCAACTGTGAAATTGTGGGCACCATTGGCTTCTTTGATTATGCAATTCTTCAACATCTGAATCTGTTTATGGACTTCCTCCCCTAGATGGTGGGGCAACGGATGGGGGTCAAAGGTCGAAAGCGTTCTGATGACAGAGTAACTTCGTGTTCAATCCACAGACACAAGCCAATCGGATCCTCATCGCCCGTGAACAGTTCGGATAATTCCACGACTACGGACCATACTGACGGTACATTACAAACGGAAGTCTTCGGACACGGCTCACTCAAGTCAGTGCCTGAGTTATCTTCAGGCCTGGCTGCGCCATACCTTGTCTCTGGCTTTCCCTGCTTTAGGTAAATCACGGAATCTGTGCCCTTGAGAAAATCCGCCCCCAATATTGTCTGTTCCATGTGTTGTACGAACTTGTCGCCTAGGCGCATTAAGTGCATTGACAATTCGTTAATCTTTGGTCGATATCCACCCACATCTCCCACGGCTAGCGCGCACGGTCTGTGTTCGGCTTGGTTACCTCTTTGCCTGAGCGACACGCTTGCTCCTGTATCAACAAACATACCTCCCTTTTTCCCTCTATCTCGACAATGGCTTGTATGGTAGCTAGTGTCAGTGCGCCAATCGCGACCCACCCAGGAAAAGAGGATTACTCCAAAGTTTTATCGTGTACGAGTGATCGGTTCCATTGGCCCGCCACACCCGTAGAAACGGCTCGTTCCAGCGCACCTAATGTGATTCCATCTTTAGGGTTGCAAGCTGTTCGGCGATTTGGTCTACTCTCGTTTGCAGTTCATCCACTGTTGAACCATCCCTGTTCTGCGGTTGCAACATGGTCAGTGTTGCCTCAGTCTGTTCCCGTGCCAGATGTACCAGCTCCTCCACTGGCCAGTTGCTCTTGTTAACCGCAACTGGGCACTTAGCACCGGCTGCCCTCCTCCAGTGAACTGGTCGGACAGCAACTGGTGTCGCGACACTCCGTCCAGTCCCGGCAAAACGCAATTCAGCGACTGCTTCTGGATGGCAAAGAACTCGGTCGGGTCAGATCCAGGTGCAATTCGGACCGTGTCAAACCGCCTCATAGCCTCCTAGCGGTCGGCCGGCGTGCCGAACTTCGCTGCAAGGGCTTTCTTCACAGCCACCCAATTCATCTCCCGAGGGCTTCTTCCGGCCGCATCCAGGCCCGCATTCGCACGCCACTGAGAGTGGTCTTCAGCGCCGCCAATTTACCCCGGTCACTATCTAGTACAGCAGCCTTCACAACCTCCACAAAATGCTCCAAGAGGATCCAAACATGCCCATTATCAAAGGGTTGTCGCCAAGCGCATCTTCCGTATCCTAATCACAGCATCAAATGAAAGGAAGAAGGCCTTCGCTGCGGTGTTATTTCTCCGGAAATGCCAACTGACCGATTATACACCATTGAACAGGGAAGCAAAACTCTATGAAAGCAAACCTTCACCGAGAGACTAGTACAGTGTTTTCTTTTCGTATTTTGCTGGCCGCAACGAATGGCTCAGCCTACGTTCATTCTCCTGTATATATTTAATGAAGGTTTCCAGACATCATTACGTTTGTTTAGGTAAACTTGCTGGCAGCACACCTGCACTCCACACCCTCGAATTTCTCACTTTCGCTCTCTCCGAAACATCTTGCATTCTATTGTGTATGTGCTCAAGCCAAGAACCGCGCTAATCTACGTTCACATTTATGCAGCTCAACAGATTTCATTGCCCACAGAAGCAACCATAACTCTGTTGGAAAAATTCTGGTGGAATTATTTCCAAATTTCAATGGGACTCGGGAGGCCTAGATGAGGCTCAAAAGTTTTGACCGGTACTCGGAACCGAAATGCTCGTATTTTAGTCCATTAGGAACACGTCGTAGCTATCGAAAATTCGATTCTATTGTGCGAATACTGAACGCCCGAGAGCCTGGTGATCGTCAAAAAACTGCATTCCGCGCCCAAGATAAACTTCTAGTAAGTTTGAACGAAATCAGAGAAAACTGTGACCAGAGGTATTCTTGTGTTCTGAGTAAATACAACCAAATTTCTTAAATATGTGTAAAGGCTCTAGATGTCGAAAACGTCGACCAATAGGCATTCTAGACTTGTGGTTCTCTGGCCTTGAACTAACTCCCCCCGGCGCGCTCCTCACTGGGCCCGGGCGATGTGTTTCGGTTTCGTTGCGCTCTCTTGAGATGACGGATGTGGTAGGTTCTGGGTTTGTCAACGTGACACAACACGTTGCTTTTACAGTCGAGATTCTATCACGATGTGATCGATGATGTGATAAATGGAGTGAAGGATGAATGGGTTGAGGAAGGCTTGGATCTTCAGGTTTTGGACGAACTTCGAAAAGTAATATTTGCTTATATTTTGATTGCGTAATTATCCTAGTTGTGGACAACAAAGCTTGCGGAGACTCATGTTTTCGATCCAGAACCTACGACGAACACCGCTGCACAATACCTAAACCTTATACAACGTTCTCAACTGCAAGTAAGTGTCAGTTCGGTTTTCCGATCGCATGCCATGATTCGCATCACCTTCGCTTCATATTCACACTGGTATGAATCCCGTTGTGTTCTTCAGGTGGATAGCTGTCTGTATTGCAGTTGACCACTGATTGCGATCTCAGCCAATCAGTCTATATTTAAACAGGGCGGCGCATGTTATAAGAACGCTCTTTATAGTAAGTGGGAATAAACTTGTAGAAATTGTTGGATTGAAAAGCATAGCATACCGCGAACGCCTCAGTCCTTGGGAACACGTTTTTATGCGTAGATGGGCATCCCTTACATGAAGACGTGGATGCCTTCGTCAACCATATGGAGTCCTAACCTCTGAAAAGTGTTCGTGTCGTGATATTAGTACACTCTTCCTTTTTGTGAGCGACTATCGGTCTGCAGGCAGAACGGGTTAAGTGCACCGTGCAAAGTATTCTTCCTAACTCCGGACAGACTTTTCACGGCGGCGGCGCAGAGGATGTCATACCTCCATCGTTTGTTCATTTTCGTTTGTAGGGACTGACATCTGACAATTGTTAGAGCGTTAACTTAATGAACGGTAAGTCCTCGGTTCGAACGCGGCATCTGCATTTCGAATTCCCCTGTCTAGGCTTGAGCAACCTGGCAAGTATCCGCCCATCGTGCTTCCTTCGGGTGGCATGGCACCCAGGCAACGAGAGGGTCCTACAGGTGAACGGCTTTTTATGTAACTCCCCAACTGACTTCCCTCAACTCTAAGACTCTCGGTAATGCCACCACAACATTGGCGCTCAAAAGGATTCTCCACAGGCAGGTACCGTTAAGGTCCATAAGACCTGATAGAAGGAAGCTTGGGCAACCTGGCAGTATCCCACCCCTCGTGTTTCCTTCGGGTAGCATGGCAGTTAGGCACTGGAGGGGTGCTATAGCTGAACGATAGAAGGAGGCCGATATTTCGATTGTGGTGTATGTGAGTACCTAGGATTGAATGATTGGTTCTTTTCGAACCTCGACGTTAGATACCCACCGGAGTCCGCTAAGAGATTGGTACTTGCCGTGTTGTGGTTTTTTGTCCACCTACTTGACCTACTGATCCATATTGAAGGTTGTCTGTGTGAGAGTCGCAGTCACACGGAAATTGACCTGTTGCAGCTGCCGCAGTTTCGTTCACCGATGATTTGGGGGAGGGGGTAGGTAGGTAGCCGTTGCAGGCGCGAGCTGGTAAGTTGGTGCATTAATCCAGCACTCAGTGGGCTGTCAAGTGGAGGGGGGGTGGAGAAGGAAATCGACCTATTCGCATAAATCAAGGTTACGGCTTACGGGCCCTGAAGTTGGGGGTTGGAGCGTGTATGGTTTCTTGTCCTTTGAAAGTTAGGCTGCTCTAGTAGTTAACCATCCATCGTGCCTTAACTGCCGAGCTCGAGGCGCGAACTTTACGACCTAAAGGTACGTGGTTCCAACCTAGACTGGGCATCGCGATAGCTGTCATGTAAGCTTGCGCAGTCTCGCAGTACCTCGGCTCTCGTGCTTCCTTCAGGAAGTGTGGCGGCTACGCACCTAATGGGTGCTACAGCTGAGTGATAATAATAATAATTATTATTATTTGGTAGGCGCTGCGCTCCGTTCGGCGTTTTGAGCCAAGAGCTTTGGTTGGAGGAATTGGTCGTTCTGCTTCCGATCAACTCTACTGCTCAGGTTTTGTCCTGTGTTTTCGCAGCCTTCAATGTACGAACGCCTCAACAAATCGGTCAATAAACCCACACTTTTGTCAGTTAATGAAGAGATTCATTGGGTTTCCGAAAGTCGATTACATGATCCAGATATGCACTTCATCTCGGCTCCGGGTACATCAAGCTTCTATTTTGCTATTATGCAGTTAGTTCGGTGTCGAGATAACTCAGTGGTCAAGGCGCGAACTTGCTGATCGGAAGTTCCGAATCCAACCGCACTATCTCAACTGCTACTGTCTAAGCGTAGCAACCTGGCAGTACTTCGGCCCTCGTGTTTACTGCGCGTAGCAGGTCAACTAGACACAGTGTTACAGCCGGACGATTGCTATTGCTGCAGCAGGTTGTGCCAGTGTTGATACAATTGTCAGCTCCCAGTCTGGAGCTTCCGGGCATGGATATCCTCAAACAGTCGTCTTTGTACCGTTCATTTGTCCAGGACCTTAGTTATCAAAACCTGTACATCATACCTACACACCGGCTAACTGTAGCTCGGTTTTGGCGAAAGGTACCTATCATCGGGAGCTCACCATCGTCCTAACTGGCACGGGGATTTCAGATAGCTTCCTGGCCACCGGAGATCTCATTGCACAAGTAGAGCCTCTTAGCTCACTGCCTGGTGTTGCTTCTTCCGAAAACGTGTTAATAATAGTGATTTTACTACACTTAAACTGGTCGCCAATCGTCACTCGGTGCTAAATTTAGACGTTTCCTGATATCCTTCTTACGAAAGACAGGTTGACTACATCACTACGAGCTTTCAACTACATGGCCCCACTTTTTGACTACCAAACTCCGGAACACTCACGTAGCTTCAGATCTTACTCTCATTCAGTGTGTTTCCAGGAACTTCCGGAAACGCTGAAGAACTGAAAAACTTTCCGACCCGCAAGTTAGACTATCCTATCCAAGCATCCTACCTATAACTTTAGAGGTGGGACCTGCGAAGGAAGTCAATCGTCATTAGTTGAGGTAAACATCGTCACATCTGCAAAAAAATTCATGTAGTGTCCCTGAGCACCTGCCAAATAAAGACTGGGTTCTAGAACGGTCATTCTAACCGTTTGATACGAGATACATCCCTTCCAGAGGTTCCACTAAATGTCAATTCAACTGCTTTCTATGTCCGGATTCCGAAGTTTCTAGAAGTCACTGGAGCTAGTGTAGCTGATGATATTCAGAAACTTCACAGGACGGCACATGTGTGCTCATGTTTCAAGTCCCTCATGTTTGTCAGAAATACATCATTAATAAATACGCCACTTAGCCGCCATACAGCCATGACAAAGAATGTCCTAGTAAAGACTATAAAGAAGGCGAAAGGAAGTGACTTGTTGCAAATGGCCTCTTGTCTTTGTCGAAAACGACCAAAAACATGAGCGGTAACGAGAAAAACGCATTTGGGCTTCATGTTCATTAGTGGGATGCACTTAACTTTTTTGCAAGCCTCACTCGATATCAGTCCACCACACAATGACGGAGGAACTCTAGCTACGCGATCCGACTAGGAATCGACAACACGCTCGCCACTGGGATCGGTTGCATGTTATGTTTTGTAGGATTTCTATCCACATGTAAGGAGGATCACACGAACTCCAACCTAAGCGGCGCAAAGATCCGACCTGTGCCTCGAATTTTCCTGTCTAGGCTAGGCAACCTGAGAGTATCCCAGCCCTCGTGCTCCCTTTGAATGGCCTGGCCGCCAGGCACCGAAAGGGTGTCACAGTTTGATGATCATCTTATCTTAAAGACCCGACATGCGTAGCACGTTTCCAGAATACTTTAACATTAGTTTCAATCGCTGTTCCAGTAATTCTGATACATCGCCGAGCACTCGATTTTGTCATTCTCATGGTCAGAGTCTGTCGGTCGCTGAATGTAGTTTTTACACCAAAAACTGTGACACCTTGGAGTGTGTATTCCTCGAGAGTATCGGTAACAAAACCGAACGGGAGCTTCATTAGTTGTGGGGAAACATGGCAGTATTCCATTTCAGCCAAATATTTGTTGGAGGAATGAGGCGTCAGCTTTCGCATTTTTTTTTATCGTATCTGACCTGCTGTATGCAGCGAAGAGGTTCACCGAACTGATGTCATGCGACGGACGATGAGGCATACGCTTTTGTTTCGGACGAGATGGCTCAAGTCGTTAGAGCATGAATTTGCTGACCGAAAGGTCCGTTATTCAAACCCGAACTTCGCCTCTCGATTTCCTCTGTATGAGCTTGGGCAACCTGACAGTATCCAAGCCCCCATTCTTCCCCCGGGTGGCATGGCAGCTTGGCACCGAAGGGGTGGCTGAATGATCGTATTTCTTATTATAATTTCTTTGTGCAGTTCATGGTCGTGCGTGGGCAGCGGTTGTTGGTGTAGGACTACCGTAGTAGTCTAAATCTTAGAGAATGAGCCCCCGGCCTTGTTCCAACCTCTGACCTTTATCAACTGGAAACAGTTCACTTCGGCACACGGTTTGTTAGCCAACCTGGATGACCTCGAGACTTTGTTAGACCACCGTCCAAACCTTGGATATCGTATGTGTACCCCCAATATAGCTCAGTGAGCTGCTGAGTTACGCAGACGGTCGCACCACGATAATGTCCAGTCTCTTCACGACGGACTTTAATTAATAATGCGTCCTGTTTTGGGCTTTCAGTTCAGGGAAACAAGCGTGATCAGCACATCTGCGTTTGCTATTAGTAGCTTTCATATTTCGCTACCACGTGATTGTTCGATTTCTCTTGGCTGACTGTTATTCTCCGGTTTGTTGAGCGAGGTCGTTTGATTGGTTGTCCAAGCTCCCGTAACGTGTACAGTCATTAAAGCACGAACTTGCTGAATGGAAGGTCCGTGTTTCGAGCCCAACCTCTGCATCTCTACTGCTCCTACCTGCGCATGGGTAACCCGGCACTATTCCAGTCCTCGTGCTTCGTTCGGTTGGAATGGTAGCTATGCATCGAAAGGGTATTAGAACTGAACGATTTCTTTCGAAGATCATTGGCCTAACTCAGAATTACTGACCCCATATCCCCCCGTACCCGGGTAATTTTCCGGAAACATCGGTAGCCAAATACTGAAAGCTTTTTAGCGTCTTCGAATCGATCTCTGATTAACATTATACTATGGAGCGCACCTCAGCATTTTAAACTCGATCCTCGTCAAATATCAACAATATGCCACAAATGATGCAGGTTGACGAAGGTTGCCCTGACCCTCACTGTCCGAATGGCAATATCGTGTAAAGCTAGGCCACCACGAATAATGTTGCTACCAAGGTGCGCAAGTTTAAT